TATTCAATATACTTTAAATAAATATATTGATAGAATATTAAATATTATTTAATATTCGTTTTCTAAAATCAATCAAGAAAGAATAATTGTTTTTAATTTTTGATTGCTACAATAACACCCAGCATGATACGATTAAGATGTATAAATATTACTCTATCAAATAAACTGAAATATTTAACTTATGTATGAATACTAAATAGTTAACAGTCATTCATTTATTAACATAATTGTTATTTATTAATATAAATTTAATTTTTGTAACTTAATGTTGAATATAATAACAATGTTATTTGTTCAAACCATGAACTAAGATATACCTATCTTAGTTATATCTTAGTTCATGGTTCAACCTCAAATATTGTATTCATTTTTTTAACATCATACTAATTAGCATACAGAGTCTTGTGATTTCATGGACCACGTGATTTTATATGATATACTAAAACTATGAAAAAATGACTTATGTATAACCCATTTTGGTTTTTATCATAGAATAATATTTTATGTTATTGTATTTTTCCCTCTTCGGTGTAAAAATTTAAGGAGTTAACTTGAAACTCAAGCAGCAACCTAGATAATATTATTTTTAATTACATGTTAAGTTATTTTTAAAAAGACTTCAGTATTGAAATTGATGTTTATAACATCAATCAAAAGTCACAGCCACATGAAAATTGTAATACTTATAAGTGTCATAATACGCTTCGATCCACGTCCTCGGTGATTATGGTTATAATTGAAATGGCAGTTATATTTAATATAACATATTAGTATGTCATACTAAGTTAAATCTTGTTATATGACATCATATTTAAAAAGGTAAAAATATTATTTTAAGGTTCATGTAAGGAACACATTAAATGCTTCCATGATGGTTATAATGTTCTATAGCATCAAACTATGTGTGTTTCTATACAGTATGACAGTGGTGACAATATATACCTACAGTTTATAACTTTTTTTTTATTCTACAAGCTACTATTTGTTGTATATAAATATATCTATTTTATTTTATTAAAAAAAAAAAATTATTATGCATGTATGGTACACATTGCCAGCGAATTGTCACAGAAAATGAAAAGTTAAGTAAACAAGAATTACAAGTTAATTAAATACTTTTTTATTATGTAGAAGTTATACTACCACCTCATTTCTCAACAAAATTGATTGACACAATATTAGAATACTAATTCGTTTGTAGCCAATAGTAAAAATGCAGGTACCCATTACTCTGTATTACATGATTTATGTGTACACTATCATTAGAACTGAATAAATCAACGAAATAGAAAATTAAGCAAGACAAAATGGTACCTGCCAAAAATAATGCTTGTGATATTGCCATATTTTGCAGAGTTTTCATGTGATTAGGGCTACATTTTCACGGCTTATTGATGTAGGCTACTAATATATTTATTAAGAAATACTAATTGTCACTTATGTTTAAAAAATGAAGTGTATAAACACAGAATTATTAACATTTTATTTCGAAAAAATAATAATATTCTTTATCAATTCAGTAGTGTATAATAAACAAAATAATAATATCCCATAAGTATGAAATGGTCAACCGCAAATAATAGGTACATTAGTCTAGAAAAAAATTTGAGAACTTATGGTTATATATAATAAAAATCCTTAACCATAAAAATATGGTTTTTATGGTTAAGGGTTTTTATTATTATTTTATAGGTACATTAGTTCATTATCTATGGTAACAGCTTTATTATGTAGGGACCTATGGGCTATGACCGTGGGAACTTATAACCGAATGCCCAGTGGATGAAAAATAGATTCTATAAATTGTCTAACAGTGATTATGGTATCTTCCAATAGCATCTACGTAAAAGCGTATACGCGGAATGCCGTCCTCCCGTCCAATCTTGACCATTCAAATGTATGTAGTTATGTAACTGCATATTATCCAAAATTGAAAATTCAGGTATATATATTTTAATATAAAATAGCTCTTGATAATTTTAATAAAAAAAATAAGTGTGGCTATTTGAAAATCAGACGTTGCTATCGAAAGAACTATTTTGGGAGAGGGGTAAATACAAAAAAAAAATTGAAAAAATTGAAATCACGTTGTATAAATACACTGTGAAAAAAAAACTTAATTATCAATTAAACCCAGTGAGATATTGAGTGGTTCACGATAAGTGGATCATCCTGTATAAATATATTGTTTATTTTTTGTTTTGTGTTTGGTTAACTTTGGCCAAAAATACTTTGCGCGAGGTCAAACTAAAGAACAACGGCAAAGAAATCTCTGAAATTTCATTTCATCGATTAACGGCAGATAACTTAATTTAATTTGATGAGTTGGTTTTTGTTTGTGCATTTATAATTTACTATCAATTGAGTCTATAGTGAAATTTTTTTAATTTAATTTGAATCTGTTCACTTAAATGCATTAATTTTTTTGTAGGTACTTTTTGAATTGCTTTACATATTTTTAAAATAAATAAATGCATAATAACTATTATAAATTATTGCAAATTTATATTTTTCGTATTCATTAAAGTATCAAACAATTAATGTACTACCTATGTATATTGCTACAAGTGTAACAAATCATCCGTCAGTTCGGTCTTAACCAGTAGGTACAGTTCAAAATAAGCACAGTTTAAATCAGTACAGTCCAAGCTAGTACATTATAAACCAAGCTCCATTAAAAATTAGCATAGTGGTTTAAGAGGGGTATCATGTTTTTAAAAGTGATTTAATTACTTTCAAGCGCTTTGATGCGAATCTGTACACGGTATAACCTAGTACAGTATAAAACAAGTGCAGTCTAAATCAGTGTAGTTCAAACCAAGTATATTTTAAACGACTGCTTAGCTGGTACGATCAAGTACTTAATAGCTATTGAAATCCAAAGAAGTCAAGACTGTTTAGGCCAGCTCGACTAAAAACCTTCTCACCTAAAACTACCACGTTTAACCGCACTGTGCACCAGACCGTGGACCTTTGACACTTTAACAGACAAGATTAACCCGCTTTCTGATAAAACAGCACATAATAAATTCAGTGAGAACTTCAAAGATAGTTAAACGCAAGGCTGCTGATACTTCCAAGGTGCCAGTGGCGGTTTTCCCGGGGTGGCAAGGGAGGCGGTGCCTCCCTTGAAAATTAAGGAAACTATGTACTTAATATTGTTATTATGATGAGATATTTTGGTTTACAATAAATATTTTCAATCGAAAAATGTATGTGAACAATAATTGTTTTTGAAAGCGAAAACAAAAATTTAAGAATTTGAAATAACGTCTCTCCGTATCAGCGGTGACCGTCTGGATGCAACGGCCGCCGTCCGCCGGCCGCTGCCTGTTGTTACACACGTAGCATAAGGGCAGCCGGCGGAGGCGGCTGCCGCTAATATCTCACGTTATGTTGTTGTGTTCACAACATACACACACACACACATACATAAAATAATACGAACAGCGCATGCGCAGTTCTCTGCGAGAGGCGACACAAAAATATTGCCTTTGTGGGCAACTGACCGATGATCGTGTTTATCTTGGGGAAGAAATGGGGCATAGACATTCAGCATGTACATCAGCACCGACACTGCCAACAACAAAACGCCATTTCCCATTATCACTAAATCATTTATCAGCAGTCGCAATTTGATATCACTATATTTTTTAATTAATTCTGATACCGGTTTACTATTTGGCGTTTTATTTAGTTTTCTTAAGTTATTAGTTAATATATATTATTATACTTATTAGCTTTATTTTTTTTTTTTTCAAAATGAATCCTGTATATGTCAGTATAATGGTTATGAAGCAACATCCATACAGAAAATCGTTTGCGATTACAATTTCATCTTTTGTAAATTGTATTTACATATGTTTTTATGATTATACATTTATCTTAAGTTCAAACATTTTAATGATAATTATTTTATTAGATGACCGGTAATGCGATTATAACTAATAACTAGGATAATAAGCAAAAGTCTTCTGTTACAGTTAAAAAAAGGAAGTATACCAGTATGAAGAAATTTTAGGTGTTGGGGTTTTGCGCTTTTTTTATCAATGAGGGTACAAAGTTGTTGCCTCCTCAACAATTTAATGCCAGAACCGCCACTGCAAGGTGCACAAGGCTATTGGAACTTCCAAGAAACCTACGGTTGAATTATTGCTGCATGATATTGCAAGGCTGCAGTTGTATAAATAAAATAAAATAAATAATGTTGGATGAGAGAAATTAGATATATAATAACTTTTAAATTTGCGTTATGAATAAATTTTCATAAGCACTAGGCAGATATCTCATAAGGAATATGTTATTTAAACTGCGAGAAAAAGAATATGGGATTCTTCGGGCAGAGTCTTACTTCGCCAACTGGGTTGTTGTAGAAATGCAAGAGCAATGCACGAAGACTAGACGACGGATGTCTTGTTATAAGCGATTTTATGGGGTGTAACCGGATGTTTCGTCCTCGTCATTGAAGTCCTGACTCCTGTGGAGGGGACATATTATAGTGTGTGCTGATTTGTCTGGTTGGATTCCTTACGGGTTTCTATTTAGTGTATATGACTCACGTTTACTGTAGTAGCCAGTAGGTATAATTGCATTTTTACACGTCATATATTAGTACATTAAATTTATTATGTGCGGTTTATTCTTATTAATAACTTATTTACTAGTATTAGTTAGTTTCGACAAACATTGTGTACATCTGATCATGAAAGACGGGTTTACAGCATATGCATACAAACATATGACGTCATGGTTTTAGTAATCAGTACAAAATTAAATGCGGTATGTTAGAATATACAATTTTTATTTTGTCTAAACGTCTGGATTTTACCATTCAGTTATAATTTATAATTACGTTATACAAATACAAATGATTGCTAAAGATGTTGCCAGTGTCTGAAACAAAATTAGGTTACCAATGTAAAACGTTATTTCCAATAATTTCGCTACATTATTATAATTCTATTTTGAAAAATTTAACTTAAGTAGTAAGTCTTTTTCAAAAATGATTGCACACAACTGTATTTTTTGGTCATTTTATTTCATACAAACAGTCAACTTCATGATGATTGAATCCACAAGCAAAGTAAGCATAATTTATTTTCCACAATATGGAAAATTCGTTTTTACACACTTATAATTTAGAAAGTCCAACATTTTTTCTAGTTGGTCCCATCCAGCAATAGCGTTAAATCAAAATATCAGCTAAATACCCCCCTCCCTCCCCCATCTTATCATTTAAATGGTAAAAGGTTGTCAGTAATAAATAGATTTAATATATACACCTTCTCTCTTCTTCTTTTCTAAAAGCCAAACCTTGTCATAGCGAAAAAATAGACTTCCACTCTTCTCTCTTTAATGCTAGAGTCTTCATATGTGAATACCCGTTGCATCCAGCCATTCCAATCATCTCTCCTATGAATGTCTTCTTCGGTCTTCCTCTTCCTTTGCGTCCATTGATTCTTCCTTCCATTATGTTGGTTATGAAGGGGTTATGTCTCATTAAGTGTCCTACAAGCTTTCCGCTTCTTAATCTAATGATGGATAACAAAACTCTCTTCTCTTCTACTATTTGGAGAATTTCTTCATTGCTCTTCCTTTCAGTCCAACTAATACGAAGTAATCATAACACCTATAGTAACAAATTCCCTCCAACAAATTTTATGCTTTATATCCTCAAATTGAAATCTTTAACTAGGTACGGATTTTATAAAAATTGGTAGTATTGCCACTTTTCCAGTGTTATTAATTCTATTTATTTCCATTTTGTTTTGGTTATCATCTGATGCCCAATGATGGTCCATTGATTACTTTTATTGATGAAATACGATTACTATTTCTATTGTTGTTGTTATTATAATTAATACTCATACGATTGTTGTGAGCACACGACATATGTGTGACCCAAGATCAGATATAACGAGAAGTGTCAGTTTTATACTAATGATACGTTCTAAATTTAATTTAACTAATTTATTTATTGAAATCCTAGGGATTGTGATTCTAGGAGGAAATTAAAATATTATCTAGATTATACAGCAGAAAAAACTGGTTCTAACCATATACAACGTGAAAACAAACTATTGAGTAGTAGGCACTTTTAGAATAGAACAGAGAATATTCTACGACTACGAGTGTGCACATGACGATTGACACAAGCGGAATAGAAAATTAATCTTAATTTAAAATGCTAATAAAATATTTATGAACTTGACAAATAAATTAATTTTGAAACTCCCCTAGCAAAAGCTTTGCTTTTAGGGAGTGCGGCAATATTGTAATTAATATTATTAAAGTTAATTATATTTTGTATTATATTGATACAAAAAATGTATTATTATTAAACAAAAAAAAGAAAAATAATATCCAAAACTGGTTACCGACAATTCAATAATTTTAATACATTTTACATAGTTCTAAATGTTTATAAACATGTATGTATGTGAGCTGTACATCAATTTTATTTTTACAGGTTTCGCCGTCATATTACGTCAATCATACATTCCCTCTTTCATACGTTAATGTAGTGAATAACTTGATAACCTACAATGAACGGGAAATCAAAATTAGTGAAAAAGAAATTACAATTTTAACAACTCCTGTTCAGACTTACAGCGACACCAAAGGCCGCAAAACGGTATTTGATAAATTTGACAAGAAAATCGAAGACATTAAGTGTACTTGCACACTAATCGTGAAAACGAAACTGGCGTACTTGTCGAATATTCTGGAAGGCTTGCAAAGTGGCGGATCTATAGAAGTTGCAAAAGATAAATTAACCATGTTAAAAGAAGAAGCAGGTCTTATGGTCTTGATGTTTCAATTAAGCCAAGCAAAAGCGGGTAAATGGTTTTGGAGTTATTATTTAAAAATCATGGCGATCATTGAATACGAGAGCAACAGAAATTTCTTTGGGGATCCTCTTTTCGCAGAAGATGAATTACAAAGCGGTATTTCACATTTTTTAGAATACTGCAAAGATAACAAATATCTTCCCAAAAATAAACCAGAGTGTGATTTGGTTTCAAAAGTTCCCAATGTACCAAATAACATCTTTCAAGAACTTCGCTCGTCATCAATTATCGCTGTAGAATATGTTTACATCATGCAATACATATCGATTGAATATTTGTATCTAAAACCGTTGTGGGATGATCACGAGTTATTGTTTGGGGAAATAACAGGCTCAACCGTAGAATGGAGGCCAACGATAAGACGGCACGCAGTCGAAGTGGATAAAACCAAGAAATACGTTGAAAACCGCCAATGGATACCAAAACCGTTCGGACACCTTAGTTACCACAAGTTGATTAAACAAATTATCAGTGTGAGAGTATACACCTTTCTGTGGGTAATGTTGGTAATATTCAACAAAGAAATGCCTAAAATGGATGTGCTCCAATTAACAATTTTGTATTGGAAGGCATTGCGAACAATTAATATGGTCCAAAGTTTTATGCACTATACCGAAACTTTGTTTTTTGATATAGTAGCTGAGTTTCGCTGTGCAATGAATGTCAACCAAAACAACTTTGATAGCATTATAGCTAGAATAGCTGTAAGAGTTAATGACATTCTAGTTGAGTTGAATGGCCGTAAGTCAAATGGCAGTAATTGGATTAGTATAAATATAAACGAAGAGTTTACCCATACTATGATATTGGAATTTCTTCAAGAATTTGAAAATAATTTTAATATGTTAACTAAAAAGTTAACGATTTTAAACTATGAGCTTGCATTAGGTATTCTGGTCGAAGGAAATTAATGTTTTTGGGGATAATGACGAAATAATTTATCTAGCATTGTATTTACATACCCATTTCGTAGGCTAGTGAAATCCTATTCATTTTCATTTCTAATAAATCTTCTAAATATTTTTTGCTTATTTCCTTATTTTAATTACATTTTTAGAATTTGTCTGAGTAATAAAAACAATCTTACATAAAAAATATTTTAATATTGTTTTTTTAATTATTTGAATGCCTATAAAATAAATTAATAACTAATTTTATTTGTCTAACATAGCCAAATTTATGTAACTATTTCATTTTATATTGAATAAAACTGTAATTTATTTTCTCTTTTATCGATTAATGACCAAATATATGAATAATTTCGCATTGTACGATTGTTATTTATTTAACTATTAACCTAAGAAATTTCTGGTCAATTTATTAAAAACGAATTAATGGCTCAACTAATGTTGTGTTTTTCGCTTTATTTCTTTTGTATGTAACACATAAAAGCTCTCTGTGTGGGTCCGGGGTTAGAAAAGGTCCACAGTAACTCCTGCTTATTGTAAGAGGCGATTAAAAGGAGGTAGCGGAGGGTAGCAGCAACCGCTACTACCGACCATTGGCGAGTTTTGTAGCAGAACTAACGGCAATGGAAGGATATGGTGGAGGCAGCTTGAAGATAATTCAAGTAATGGCTCACCAACTGCAATGCAAAAAGCGAGAGGAAACTACTGCATTAACTTCCTGAGGATAATAATGAAATGATGATGATTGTAGAGGTAAAGAGTCCCCCATTCGGATCTCCGGGTGGGGACTGCCAATACAAGGTCGTCAAAAGAGAGGACGAAGAGGAGAATTTCATCATTCAACCAATCTACGGATTGAAAAAAAAAAACATAAAAGGTAAACTGGCCTATAATCGTGAGGTCTACTTTGTTAGTATGTTTTTATTTATAAAATACAATAGGACAGGAAATCTTGTTCGGTCTTTTGAGCCTCTAAGAACGTACCTTCGATCTCTGCAAAAAATAGTCCGACAAAATAGGATGTAGAACTTTACCACCCAATTTAATTAATACTTTTGACCGTTTATTTACATAAATATTTGAATGAATAATGGGGATTTAATTGCGCCTATTAGGTGATGTAACTCTCAGATTGTAGTGACGTTCAATTTTATTTTAAGTACTAATTGCGTTGGACCTTGATATTAGTTCAAGTTTTACTAGGAAATTATCAGTATTATATTATATGGTGATATATTATGTAATAAATTAAATATTAAAGTACAAAATGCAATAAATATTTAACAACATAATTTTTGAAAAAAATATTATTATTTTACTTAAATTAATATAATATAATTTTAAATTAACTACTAATGTACTTTCTTTTTTTTTTTTTTTTTTGTGTGTGTGTGTGTGTGTGTGTGAAATTAATGTACTAACATATGACGCTGTATAATTACTATATTAAAATAGTAGAAAATAATAATACTATTCGCTAAACAACCGTGAGTAGGTAATATTAGGTTTTGGTAGGAAGGTAAACCTTGATGATTTGACATCATTAGATGTAGTAAAGTAGGTACTTAAACGAATCAAATCATACCAATACTGTAGAGGAACTATCTGTTTGTAAGAACATTAAAGTAACATCGGTGCATGTGATTATACATAAGTACGACACATTTTTGGTATTTAAGACCTGTTAGTAAAAGAAGATATACGCTATCAGAGCTCCAAGGAAAAGTATTAATTGATAGGATTAGTATATTATAAACAGATTTCAAGGGGTTTTCATACCCCAATAATACATTCAAAATATATTTAATAATTATTTCTCCAGCACTTTTTAAGACCAAAATATTAAATATAATTTTACAAATTATAATAATTATTGACAAATCAGTATATAATTTAATTTTTATGTAGTCGTATTTTGTGTAGATATTTATTAGTAATAAAACAAGTAATCAAAATGAATTATATTATTTATAACAAAGATAACGGAACTTTTCGTTTTAACACGGTATAAGGTGGTTGCAATTAAAAAAATAATAATAAGATATACTAGGGTTCATGTGTGTTGATACATATCGGCTGAAAATAGTACGAGCCTATTCTAACCTCTAAGAACACTCAAGACAGAACAGACATGACATTAGACATCACCGATAATGTTTATTATTGTGTTCGTTTACCGTTATGACCGACAAGCGAAAGTATCTTGCTTAAGCTAATATTGTAATAGTTGTAACTTTTAAAGTAGGTACTTGCCTAATTTTGCCATTTTATACGCCCAAAATTAAATTTAAAAAAAACAAAAAAAAATGTTTGGGGTTGCCATTTAAAAATCTAAATTTGATATGGTTTTAACCCATAAGGAATGGTATTATATATTTTTTTAAATATATAAACATTTATCCCAACTAATATCTTCTAAGTTATTGACTGGTCATATATAACGTATTGAATTATTAATTAAACTGCTAACTACAAACTATACATTCGCCGATAGGAATAAACCTAGCTCAGAATTTGAATTTGTAGTTCACTGTTCCTCAAAAATCACACAACAGTAGTTTAAAAAGAAAGCTAGACCAAACAATAGCAAAAAGTTACACATTTTCAAAATTCATTACACACGTTATACCACCCCTCTTCCCAAAACGCCTATAAAAATCATGTCACTTGCCCTATAGGCACTGCAACACATTATAGATAGGTATACAAATTATATTAATAATTTACAATTTGTGAAATAATATTAAAATGTAATATTGATAAAATATGTTTTTATGACAATTAAAATAGAATAATCATAAAATATTAATGTTTTGAAATTGATTTGTAAATACGTTGTACAAACAAAATTATTTGCTAAAGATGTTTTAAGTGTCTGAAACAAAATTCCGTTACCAATTTAAAACGTTATTTTCAGTATTCGAATAATTTTTAGCTACATTATTATAATTCCATTTTGACTAACTCCACTTACGTAGAAAATTTTTTAAAAATGATTGGAAACGACTGTATTTTGTGGTCATCATTTTTCATACTAACAGTCAACTTCAAGGCGATTGAATCAACAAACAAAGTAAGCATCATTTATTTTTTATAATCTTATAAATTCCTTTTTACACAATTACAACTTAAAAAATCTCAAAATGTTGCTAGTTGCTCCCATCTAGCAATAGCATAAAAAAAATCAGATAACCAACTCCCCATCCCCATCTTATAGTTTAAATACTAGAAAGTTGACAGTAGTATATAGATTTGATATTTACATCTATAACAACGTTTTGTTCTACTTTGTTCAGTGTATAAAAGGCAGTTCAACAAAATTTGTTTAGTGCCATAACGTCCTGATGTTATATTGTATCAAGTTAAGTGAAGTTATACATATCTTTATATATATATATATATATATATATAAATGAATGTCTGTTTGTCCTTTATGCATTAGTTCACCTCGAGTCACGATGTTTGTCTGCGATGAACTTCGAAACTACTTAACTAATCTTGATGAAATTGTTTACACTGTGTGTAGTTTGATTTAACTTGAGGCATAGGATACGTTAAATAGAAAAAATTGGAAAAGGTGCCCGGAAAATTGGAAAATGTAAAATTTTAGTGAAAGTTTATTCCAATAGATGGCGCTACGTGTACAAATATCACAACTGATAGCTAATCAGCTGACATACGGACGGTTGATAGCTGATCATATTTGTTCATAGTTTCTGGCCAAAATTACATCGTTTCACATTTCAAATTTTATAGTTGCCCATTTTAGTCTAGTTCAGTTTAGTCGAGTTGGGGTTGGGGATGGAGATGAGGATGGATTTGGAGTTTGATAGTAAAATATAATAACAATAATAATATAAACTAATAATTTGTATAATTTGTGAGCACTATGTTTCAATTGTATTTTTAACATTAAATCCCTGGTCAAAAACGTTAAAATAAGTTGTTTTTGTATTTTGGCCACAAAAAAATACAAAAATGTACATATTAATCTTAAGCTTGACCGCTAGATCACGCCACAACCACAAATTTGCAAACTATTCTACAAGCGTCTTGACTGATGGACGTGGAATTGGCCGCTCTCCTGTTCTCCAGCTGGTTGGCCTTATCCTCCGCTTCGATCAGACTCTTCAAGGCCGTCGCTTTGTCCGTTATACCCTTGACAATCTCTTTACTGAAGTTTTTTGACATTTTCATGTCTTAGCTCTGGCACATAACCAAAAAAAGGGTTATTTACTTTGTGTTACCAAAAAAAGCATTACGCAGTTATCTGATATGAGATAAGATTGTACGTTCAACGTAAATAATAAATTCAAAATAGTTTAGTTCTCTATGTTAAGTTACTTTTGGCCAGATCATATAATAGATCATGAAGTTCCATGGAGCTTCCAGTTACAGCATAAGCCAAGGAGATTAAAAAATTATGTATAATCAAGTTTCTGGCTAAAATTGTAGTGTTTTCATAAAATCCGGCTTGAACAATTCGACCTCTTAAATTACATTATTATTCATTTCTATTTTGAACGTTGAACGTACAACATAACTTAGCTAATACGTACTTAACATAACGTAGCTAATAATTATTGTATGGTATATAGTGTGTGTTACTTACAAGATGGATTCTGATGAATTTTGGACGATTGTCAACAATATAGCGTTTTCGTCACAAACAACGGACGCTGAAAAATATCAACGCTTTCTACAACAGCGAAACCAAGTATGTAAGAAAGTAAATAATAGATGCGATCCATCCAACGAGGAAATTGACATCGATCCGATACAAAATTGCCAACAAAATTCCGCGTTTGTTGCGCTCCAACAGATTTGTGTATCCACCGATGCCTCCTCTGAATCCAATAACTGAACGACTCATCTCTCCCCGACTTCCTTTTATGCAAATACGTCGGCTTCGATTCGTAAAAGGGTCAAAAGTGATAGTTGGCCAAGTCATAAACGTACCGGTCGAGGTGAATAACATGGTGACCGACTTACCGCGACAGCTCGATGACGATTACGCCTTCAACGTGCACATTAAAAAACACCTAACACACATCTTCAGCGTACAGCGGATTCGTCAAGAAAAGCGAGGTAAAAGCGTGGCTACGGTATCTCGTTAACACACCACTATATCGGGAGCACGGAGTGACTGTAGATGAATTTTGTAGCAGTTGTCGCAAGTTTAGAATGCGGATACGTTTTCGTTGTGAAATTCGTTAGCGAGCATAGAGTGCAAATAAGGCGGTACCGGACGCAAATCGCGTTGAAACCATAAGCGGTCACAGACGGCACAAGAGAAACCGAAGTGATTTGACGTGAAGTTCTCGTCGAATGTAGGTCGGCGGGAGAGCAAGGTGGCGAAACGTACGAATGGTTTACGTCGCGAATTTCCATCTCTTCTGCGACATTCTTAACCGGTTGTAATTTCTTGCGTGCTCGGTATTCGCGCTGTATTTCCGTGTTTGTCTTCAGTGGTTCCTTTCGTTTATCTTTCTGCGTCGGCGTTAGCTCCACCGCATCAGGGTTCGTTAGTTGCGAATTCGGTATCTGACCGATGTCAATTTCCTCGTTGGATGGATCGGATCTATTATCTACTTTCTTACGTACTCGGTTTCGCTGTTGTAGAAAGCGTTGATATTTTTCAGCGTCCGTTGTTTGTGACGAAAACACTATATTGTTGACAAACGTCCAAAATTCATCAGAATCCATCTTGTAACACTATATACCACACAATAATTATTAGTTACGTTATGTTAAGTACGTATTAGCTAAGTTATGTTGTACGTTCAACGTTCAAAATAGAAATGAATAATAAATTCAATGTAATTTAAGAGGTCGGTCAGCCCGGGATGTCAGTCGGCATGAAGGTTATGCGACTTCGGCTATCCGACGGGATGCACCGTGTGTATCGACCGGCGACACGAGGAGCCTGACAAAAGCGCAAATGGAGGATAAAGAATTGATGGCGGTTTTGGTGGAGCAGAATTCCGTACACTATTCGTCGGCAAAAAAGACGTTTTCGCAATGTAACGGGGACACTGATCCGTCAGCTCGGTAAGCCAACGATCTTTCTCACGATGAGTGCGTCAGAATACGAATGGAATGACCTGCTACACCTGCTATACCACCTTGAAAACAACGGGCGTGAATGGACCGGCGAAGGCGAACCGGAAACGTCGATGAGCAGTGATTTGCGCACGACACTAGGTCAACGAAAACTCGGTTATGTGCTGTATTTACTTCGACAAACTCGTAGACACGATCATGTGCATTCTGTCGAAATCAACGTGCAGTCCTTTCGGTCAATATCACGTAGTCGATTACTTTAAGCGACGCAAAGGCGGACGAGTACGCAGCGTCGAAAGCGGTGCACAACGATTTCGTACAAAAAGTGAGTTTACTTATAAATAATTTTCCCAAATTACTATTATTATAATGGACTATAATTCTTTTTTCACAGCTCGTTGACACACAACTATGTCAAAAAGTCATTGCAAGTTTTGGACGTGAGATTGCGCAAACTGGTAAAATGATCAAGTAGCACCAGAGTCAACTCAGCGCACTCTTCAAGTACATAATGAAGAGAAGAAAGTTCTACATATTTTAGAGAACAAACAAACATAGAACAAACAGAAGAATATCAGAGATGAGGCAATTATTTTAAGACCGCCAGGATTCAACCATCGCCTACGGCGACCAACCAGTTCCGGCGCCTGGCTCTCTTGCTCGTATAAATTCGCAACGACATTACTGTTTGTTTTATGTATTTTATGCAATATAAAACTACTTTCTTTCGTCAATTGTACTTTGACATTTTTTTGGAACCTTTCGACTTGTGTGACTCGATAGCTAACCTAACCTATTTATCCTGAAATTTATTCGGTACTTCGACGTGACATGAAAATGTTCTATCGTGTTTGCAGACTCGGCTGAAAAATGGCTGACTCCATAAACCAGCTGAGTCCGCTCAATATCATGCGGCAAGTGTCGGCCCTTGTGGTTCATGACTTCTTTTAAAATACTGATAAGTCCGTCGAAGAGGAGGAGAAGGAGTTCCACCCATCGGCCATCTGCTTCCTCTTGGCGCTAACATAGCTTCTTTCAATAGACATTATCTCATAGATACTACTAGATCTCGCGATAGACATTATATGTCTATCGCGGACATCGCTGTCCGCGATAGATATTTTAACGTTTTTTGTATATACAACTGTCCTCGGTTGAACATAAAACTACTACTAATGAGTCAAATAGTAGTTTCCGTCCGGTCTTAGAGTGGTCCTAGGGCTTCAAAACCCATCCTAGTAGGTAACACTGCCGTCTCTATCAATTCCCAGTGACGGATTGTTCTAAAGACGTCTACTTCTCCGAAATAACAAATCTATTCGCGGTTGCTTAGTTGATAGTGGCCGTTGCTATGCAAATCAACAATCGAATTTTGCTGGGAAAATTTCCCAAATTTGCCTTTTGAGGGCTTTAATCCGTAAGGTTAGGTGAGTAGAGTGAGCTACCTCCGGGATAAACGCGCCGGGATTCTATGTGTTATTGGTACAGAAAAACGACTTGTACTCATACACAAAATACTGTTCTTTCTAATATCGCCTTAATTTTCTTTCTCTGACTTAATCAAAAAACACAAAATTACAAATGAAAACGCGATATATTATGTACTTGCTCTTTAATCGTGAAAACGAAACTGCATGTTTTCCATCTTCTGGGGAACGTGTTTCTCGTCAGACGTCGGTTGAGTGCATCTTTTAGTATGCCTGACCTCCTAATATCTTCGAGTACTTCATTTGGCATTCTGTCCGGTCCTGGCGCTTTCTGATTTCAGAGGGTTTTGGTGGCTATTCGGATTTCTATACCTAAACTAACCTAATATGGTGCAATCTCCTAGGTGACGGGCAAGTGTTTGACAAATTTCAGAAAAGTGTTCGAAGACGCTCTGATTTTAAAAATATATGTTGTTGGATGTGGAATTAATTAATTAACAAAACTCTGATGTAACGGGTAGTCACTGGATGTCTTATGTCTGATGTCGACTATTCAGTGGTCGACTATATTAGATATAATAATTTATTATACAACACCTATTGTGTACAACATTTCGACGACCTCCGTTATGAAGTCATTTGTATTTAGGGTTTTGGTAAAATTTAATGGTGGATTTAATCAAAAAACATTATTTCCAATATGTAAAATTTCATAAAAACAAAAGCCAGTACAGAGGGGTCGGGGCATTTGTGGAAACGGGGAGGTCACATGTTTAGAGGAAATATTAGGTACAATTGAAAGTGAGGTGCAGTGTTTACAAATTAGCATTAAAGCGCTTTTTTAAAAGTGATTTTATCACTTTTATAATTTCTGTAGACTTGCCCGTCCCTTTTCGGCTTTGATTTCATTATGCCAAAATAAGCGGACACGGTGGTGATAAACAAATATTGGAGTGCCGCGGGCCTAAAAAAAAACCGAAATCATCATCTCTGCTCCGCGTCGAGGCTAAAATATTTTTCTGGAACTTTGTGTAAAAGACTTCAAAAGTCGTTAAATTATATGTTTTTGGGGTAGGTGATTGCGAATTTAATATCAGTTTTCAATTTTACACAGCCAAAAAAATTAAAGTAAAAAAAAAAAATATTAAACTAAAACCTAAAAATGGTACTCGAGTATCAAAACTTAATAGTATGATTCTGATTTTCAACTTAAAGATCCTAATATGATGGCTAAAAAACCCAAAAAACAAATCTTGCACCCCTCTTAGAGGGGTGGGAAATTGGTATAATTTAAATTTGAGACTATTGACATGTGAGGGCATACGAAATAAGTATTTCTTATAAACTTTAACTCGACCCGACTCTTTTTCTCGAAATTATATACCTACTCGTATGGTTTTTTATTTTTCAAATTTAACTGTGAAAAAGTAACATTTTTCAACTTTTATCCGAAAGAATTGGTCTACTACAAAATTTGACTCCAACGTTATTAGTGATTATAGAATATCGAACAAATATATGACGTCATGCTTTTAGTATGGTATAAAATAAAATTTGGGTAAACTTAAATATTTTTATTTTGTCTAGATATCTGGATTTTACCAGATAGTTATGATTTGTAAATACGTTATATAAATAAAATTGTTTGCTACAGATGTTTCAAGTGTCGATTTTTTGTAAACGTGCACGCGGGATTGCACTTTGTGTGAAACAAAATTTTTCTCAAGATTTTACAATAAGTGTTATTATAATTAAATACAATAATATTATTCTTATAAATATATTTAATTTTATGTCGTACGCACCAAATGGGATGTTTAGAAATGCAATAATTTTTAACTCATAAACAGTTATTTCTATCGTTATTTTTACAAGTTGTTGCCACAAAAAATCAATAATAAATATATCAGTTACTTGTACCAATAAGTATATAAATCCTTACTATATTTCAATATACAGGGTGATTCAGTTAAAATTGTTTAAAACATTAAACATATACTTTTGCCTAAGAGACTTAACAAACCTGACACAAAAAATTAAATAAAAGTATTAATAAAATATATGTATCTACAGAGAGAAACAAAAAAAATTTTGCCCACGTCAAAGTAACATAATTTTTCAAAAAACATTTTTAATGTATGGTTGGGAATGGCTGTGTTATATTGACAAATGTTAGTAAACTTTGTCCAACATTGAATCCCTGGCCAAAAAAAAGATTTAAATATTCCACCACGAATTTTGAACATAAATATAAAACATAATTATTCAAAACTATTTTAATAAATTAAATTTGATTTGAAATGTTAATAAAAATGTATGTACATATATTTTTTTTATAGATTGCACCGTCATATTACGTCAGTCAAACAATCTCTTATTCATTCGTTAATACAGTGAACAATCTGAAAACCTACAATGAGCCAGAAATAAAATTTAATGAAAAAGAAATTACAACTCTTACAACTCCTGCTCACACTTATAACGACAATAAGAACCGCGAATTGCTGTTTGATAAATTTGATAAAAAAATCGAAGACGTTAAATGTACTTGCTCTTTAATTGTGAAAACAAAACTAGCGTACTTGTCGAATATTCTGGAAGGCTTGGAAAGTGGCGGCGCTATAGAAGTTGCAAAAGATAAATTAACCAAATTAAAAGAAGAAGCTGGTCTTATGATCCTGTTGTTTCACAAAGGCAATGTCAAAGCGGGTAAGTGGTTTTGGAGTTATTATTTCAAAATCATGGCAATACTAGAACACGAAAGCAACAAACATTTCTTTGGGGAAACTCCTTTCGAAGAAGAGGAATTACAAAATGGAATCACTGATTTTTTACAGTATTGTAAAAATAAAAAATACCTTCCCAAAAATAGAACAGAGTCTGATTTGGTGTCGAAAAATTCCAATTTACAAACTAACATATTTAAAAAAATTCGCTCGTCTGTAATTATTGCTGTAGATTATTTTCATGTCATGCAATACATATCGATCGAATATTTGTATCTAAAACCATTATGGGATGAACACGAATTCTTGTTTGGAGAAATAGCTGGCTCAATTGTAGAATGGAGGCCAACGATAAGACGGCACGCAGTCGAAGTGGATAAAACCAAGAAATACGTTGAAAACCGCCAATGGATACCAAAACCGTTCGGACACCTTAGTTACCACAAGTTGATTAAACAAATTATCAGTGTGAGAGTATACACCTTTCTGTGGGTAATGTTGGTAATATTTAACAAAGAAATGCCTAAAATGGATCTGCTCAGCTTAAATCTTATGTATGTGGAGACAAAACAGACAATTGTTACGGTACAAAGGTGTATGCACTATACCGAAACTTTATTTTTTGATATTATAGCAGAGCTTCGTTGTGCAATGAATGACAACCAAAAAAACTTTGATAGCATTATATCTAGAATATCGGTAAGAGTTAAAGACATTCTAGTTGAGTTGAACGGGGATGTTTCTAATGACAGTGAATGGATCAGTGTTAATATAAACGATGAGTACACCTATGCTATGATATCGGAATTTCTTAAAGATTTTAGTGATAATATGTATAGTACTTTAGTAGAAAAGTATACGAAATTTAACTATAAGCTTGCATTAAGTATTCTGGTCGAAGGAAATTGATGTTTTTAGGGGGATAATGACCATATAATAAATATTTAAGGTGTAATTTTTACAAAATTCTATAAAATAAATCTCAATATAGCATAAAATGTAAAATCTATAAAAGTAATCCATCTCGTATGTGATAGAAGGCTTTTAACGTTTTTCTCAACGAATCAAAAATAACTAAATGACTAATATTGTAGTTGACTAACACAGCCAATTTTTGGTAATTGTTTCTTTTTAAATAAACTAAAACGGTTTTTTTCTTATTTATTTCTTTTTTGTCAATGTATGACCGGATATAGAAATAATTTGACTCTGTACAATTGTTATTTGCCATATGAAACTCCTTGGTGATTTATGAATAACGAATTAATTGCTTGTTATATGCTGTTTATGGTTGTGAAACATAGAAAGAAAACTGGCCTATAAGCGTGGCGGCTACATTTTTATTTATAAAATGTGATACGACAGGAGACCTTGTTCGGTCTTTTGGGTCTTATAATCTTTCAAATTTTAGCATGAAAGATTATATGAACCTTCACTACCCAATTTAATTTGTACCCTCTTTCTAGTAGTGTTCCTAGCGGTGTATTGTATATTTGTACTATCATCAGCTGGTGTATCAACTTATTCAACAAATATGAGCCCTCGTACATTTTTTTTTTTATTTTAACCATAGGTTACCGTGGTTTAACCACAGGTCTTATGAAGACCGTGGTTCTAATAAAAAGATTCGTTACTAGCGTAAAATACAACTTTTTGAACAGATGAATAATAGTACAAATTGTTTTCACCAATTCTTTTTTAAAAAAAATGGTTATCTTGAAAAAAAATGAAAAAATGTAGTATAAAAAATTACAAAAATTTACCATATATTTAATTTGGTCATAAATAACATTGACTTGTACAACACTAAAAAGTATATAAGTAGGGTAATTAGAAAAACAAAATATTACAAAAATAAACAATAAAACCGTGAAAGTAGTAACAATAAAAAAATATATCAAAAACACGTATACCGAAAAAATTGCAATAAAAATAATGATGAAATAAAAAATAATACATTGCAATTTAGCAAAATACAGAAGACGAGTGTCACGGCTTAAGTTAGCTATATTATGTGAACTTTCGCCAATTGTAAGCTTGTGAACTTGGAAAATGATAAATAAGATAAAAATCATAAGAAAAGTAGGTATGATATTTTCACGGACAGATAGACAAAGGTAGACCGGTGAATCAGCGGTGACTTGATGGCACCAACAACTACAGTCGCGATGCTATTGTCACCATCGTTCTGACTTGTTCTTCACATAAAAATGAATCTTTAAATTTGCTCGGATCTGGAAATAACCATATACTTTAGATTAAATTAAAACGTTTTGGCCGAGGGATTGATAAAAAACGAGCCGCTATTTATAGAAACAGCAGCAGACACGTCGTCAGCCGATTTCTTTTTTTTTTTAACGTTGACAAATTTGGAACTAATTTGACTAATTTTAAATTTAATCCTTTAAATCACACACTAATTAACTTCTTCAAATTATTTCGACGGTGGTTTCAATAAGACACCATAGTTAACAATCGCAGAAAACATTATTAAAAAGGTAGTTCCAATAAAATGCCACTGGTACTCGAATAGTAAGTAAGAAAATATGTATATACATTTTTTAGGTATTTTTGTCGAATTTAAAAGGAGGAAAGTGAAGTTTTTAAATTTAAGTCCCAATAAAGTACCTTCCAGGCACGATTTTCAAACTATAGAGTTACTACACAAACGATTTGGTCAAGCGGTATAGAACATAAAAATAAAAATCCATCATTGTAATTAAACAATGCCTTCTGAGCCACGCATCAAAGTTAAATAAATTTAAAATATCGCAGTATATAAATATCAATCGGTACAAGGACGATGAAAATAAAAGGCGGTTTTAGTGAAACCAGCTAGTTGAAAGGAAGCAAAATATAATTTTACAATAATAATTACATGATGCACAAAAAAATAGTTTGTGATGCTCTGGTCCAAGACGCTCGTTTAACACAAATTTTATAATATTATTCATAATAATTACCTTTCAAGAGGATCCCGCACAAAAGCAACAATATCTTCTTCTTAAGTTTTCCATCCTACGGCCCACGGCTCGTATAGCCCGCCTCAACCACGAAGGTCGGTCTTTTGGGCGGGTTGTGGATCCCTGAGGACAATTATTAATCAGTGTGGCCCGACAGGGGATCAGTTCTGGAGAAATATCCGAATTAGGACGATAGTAGTCGTCTGTGTCAAATCCTAGTAAAACATATAAAAAGTAAATATAATATATTCTATTTAATTTATCATAATTTTACATATTTTACCAAAAAAATAGTATAGTTTATAATATTTATTACAACATGTTTTTGTTGAAATTATGATTTATTTTTGTTAACTAATCATAGTTCACTCTAATCATAGCAATCTATCACCTGGTTTTATGACACCAGAGAAGATCTTTGATAAAACATTTCTGTAGTTTAATACTAACCGTACGGAAATATACATACACACTAAATAAAAACAAAATTACTTGTTATTTAAACAAAGTTAAATTAATACAAAATAATTATGTTTTATCAGATTTACCGCGTGAAAATGAGTACTATTTTAAGTAGGAGAAAAAACATTGTAAAAAATTGATACTCGAGTCATGAACTGTACAGAAGACTAAACTTTGTAGACATAATTGTTTCAACTATGTTTAATACTGTGTAAAAATAAAATATTTTTTCGTTTTTTGGACTTTTTTATGAATTTTTATTTTTTCTAAGTGTTTTTATGGAGATTCCGACTTAAAACTAATAAATCACACTCAAGCATAATATAATGCATTTTAGTTGTGATTTTAAACAATTTTTGTCCGTGCCATTTAATCCCACCAAAATACAAAAATATACTCTTGTTGTGTCGTTGGAGAAGATTCAATTATGTCTTATCGACAGTAGGGCAGATATGGGCAGCTAATCTATATATATTCTTATTCTATATACCTAAAAGTATTATTGTATGTGTATATCAGCGTGAAGCTCAGTGAATAAATATAACAAAAATGTAATCTTATCAACCTACCTGTTATGTTCTTGTACTCTGTTTAAATAAAGGTTTATAAATACAGGCGAATACAACAAAAATAGATTCAAATTTTATTTATATAATGACTATTATACACATATAGTATGTATATATATGAGAAAATTAGAACAATTTAACACATTAAACATATGATTTGTGTTAAATATTAAAGATATATTATAAAAAAAATCGTGAATTAGCAACCAAATTATTTCCAAATTACTTCCAATTTCAACAACTCGTAAGTAAAATTTCAAATCAATATTTTGAATTCTAATTTTAATTTTTAGAGAACTTAAGTAGTATTGTAACAACCTAAATAATTACATTTTTCCATTTTGATTTTTTTGATTTTTGGCCACCTTTTTTTGATTTTAGACCACTGTGTAGCGGTGGCAGTGTTGTGATAAACTATAAAAAATAAAACAAATAGTTTAGATTTATAATTTTAATTAATTAACTTCTACGAGTGAATTACATAGTCCCGGTTTTCGGCCCCTCTGACATTCGGTGAAGGTAGTGGTGGTGTATTAACGAATTGTAATATTATAAAAATTAAATTAATATAAAAACGGTTAGGTTTATAAATGTTTGACCGTTTAATAATTAAATTACATAGTTGATTAAGTCCTCTGGTTAGTCGGGGATCCGTTCGACAGATATGGGCGTTGCACGGATCTCAAATGTCTGTATGAATAGATGCGGCGGACGTTCAACGCATTTGAACGAGCCCAACAACCCCTCTCCTCCTGGAAAGGGGCCGTTGGTCTATTCTGCCTCGATAACGACCATGTAACCCATTCCAGTGAATGTCTCCTTTTCAGCATCCTTCCAGCTCAGCTGTGTGGTTACAGACTTGACCACAACCATCGGTTGGTCCCTTAGCTCATGTTTGTCTTCTGGCTCGTCGTTTTTCTCGTTAATTTTATCCATTTCTTGTTCGGCGGCTTTTTTCTTCTCTTCGTCAAGCGCTTTATCGGCTTCCCTTGCTCCAAAATGCCCTTTCCTTTCTTCGAATTTAATTATGCTTGTATTTGCACTAGAGTAACTAGCCGGACTGGCACTGTCTTCGTCGGACAAGCTGTTACTGACCTCATGCCCCATGCGATTAATTCTTTAGCCGATCGCCGATATTAGCTAAGCCTACGGTCGGCCCAGGTCGTATCGAATTCATATCGAAAAGCGTTGATGATTCCGTGAACATGTCTACCATCGTGTCGGGAGAATTGTTGAGTCGATCATAGTATTGGTTGGCAAACTGTCTTCCGACGGCCATCGTTTCCGAATAACAAGTTTTCATAGATTCCAATTTCTCATCTTTCCCATCGGTGGCAACCCAATCATCATAATTATCGTTATTGTCAGAAGAATCGTCGTCATAAAATCCAAGTTTGCCATTTTCCATTGTCCGTAGTCGTTGCCCGTCTCCACCGTTTCCATTGGCGTTATCCGGACCGGGGTCATGGTTACCCACCCCCGGCGCAAGGCTACCAGCAGCAAAGCTGCTGGCTCGATGTGACCTTAAGGACGAGCCACTTCCTACTGCCGTACCTTGGGGTCCGACCCCCCCCCCCCAGTAGGAGGGCCCCAGGAACTTTTACTTTTCTCTTGCTGTTCTCATCTTGAATATATGTTCTGGTTTTCTGTTAGGGTTTCATTTCCTTAGGCGGTTGTCTTACAGGACTAACGGACCCGCCTGCCCGGAGTGTCTCTTAGTCTGACCCCTCTCCTTTGGCCTGCTGACTTTGGGTGATCCGTTGCCAGCAGCCCTCCGGGTCGTCGGGATACGCAAGCCCTTCCACCACGACAAGGTGGACACCCGCGGAAGGGAACTCACCATTGCCAAAAAAATGTTGTGTTCTTTTAATACGCATGTGATTTTGGGCTGGAAGTTTTAATGGAATTGCATGCCACACCGCCCATTCTTAACTAGCCAAGAATGAACAATTTTTTTACAAAATACTTAAAGATTAAAATGTGACGTGAAATTATTAGTTCGGTAATAAGATTTTTATTTTCTGTAGTTAAATTTTTTTTCGGACTATCACAGCATCCTTGACAGCGATTCAAAAAAAAAATATTATCTTAACATGGCTACGCA